GAGGTTGCTTACTCAAGGGTTTGGGTGCGCGGCTTTGGTTTTTGGCGGACTGTGGGGCGTGAGTGGCCCCATGCGCGCTGCATAGAACTGAACGATGTTCGTGCCAGGCAGTACTTTTATCCGCGACTGAATAATGACCGCATTGGTTGCTGCTGCAGCCTCCCACATGTTGGTGTTTCGCGGTGTGTAAGGCGTGTGTGATCCAGTGCCGACTTCTCACGGCGACTATTCGCATTGCGCCTTGCGATGTCAACGACAACATCGACGAACTACGACTATTTTTCAGTTTCATGACGATATGACAACGACGACGACGCTGGTGATGACACCCACTGCCGGCAGGTCTCGGAGTTGGGAGCCGTGTACCTCGAGTCTCGGGCTTTCCGGACCCTTCTCTTCGTCGATGACGCCGAAGACGAGGACGGCGACAACAACAACCGAGGAGGAGGAGGAGGAGGAGGAGGAGGAGGAGGAGGAGGAAGGGGCAGAGGGAGAGACTCGAGGTATTTACGGGGAGCCTATTTCTTATCGCTACTATATATATTGTTTTTGTTTTGTGTTTGACGACACCCGAAAGAGTTTTCTTGTTTTCGTGAGACGATATGGCAGGGGCTTTCGTGGTCAGAAAACAGATGAGATAACATGCCGTTCGGGTGCTGCCCCTGAACATTGTGAGAATTTGGTACCTTGCGCACGAGAGCCTCGGGTTTTAGGATGTCTCATTTTCCAGAGATTGATTGCAACCTCCTTGCCCCGACTACTGTCTTTGTTCCTCCGTGAACCGCTAAGCTTGGTAACAGTCTAGCACGCACGTCACAATGTTTCCATGTTACAGCAACAAACCAAACCAACAGAAAGAACACGATCGGACCGCCTTCTATTTGGTAGAGAGGGGGGGTTCGCAACCTTATCACTAACCCTACCCCCCAACCCACACCCGTAACTCCAACTAGTAGCAAGCTTTATTTCCTCGCGAAGGCTACCGTAAGTACCCCCGCCCCCCCCTCCCAAACACAGACCAACATCGACCCCCCTACATGTCCCGCCATGTCCAGGTCCTTCTTGACGGAGGCGTGCATGGCCCACCTCAGGCCGACGAGCGTGTGGCACTACCTATTCTCCGGGGCCCCCGACGAGCTAAGCTCCCCGCATGTTGTGAGTACTGTACAGTCGGGGTCCCGGTTTTTTATTAACAGCAGTGGTCCCTGCCCTGTCGAGCGGGATGCCCTGAATAGCGGTTCCAGAGTCTCAAGTCTCGTGGCACACAGCTGCAACTCAGTAGTCACAGTACTGTATATGACTGCCAATCCGGTTTTGGCGGCGATGCCTTCAATCAATAGCGGGTATGACATTTCGTGACGCTATGGACCACGAAACCGGGACCATGACTGTACAAATAGTACTGTGATACCGCATGAAAGCTTGTTTCTATCAAGCGCTAAGGGCTTTGCGTTGGTTCCCCGCGGCGGGCAAAAATATTGAGTAATTTTTTTGTGTGTTTTCTAGTATGTCCAGGAAAACCTCTGTTCTTTGCAACATAAGCTGTTTTACTTGTGTCCTCGCAAGCACTAGATGCGGGTGAAGGACGCCCGTTCGTTTCCTGGCGGGTGAAAAAATTGTGTGTGTGTGTGCATGTGTGCGTGTGCCATTTTTTTCTCAATTGCGTGCTTTTCTCCCTGGCTGGGGCAACAGGCAGGGAGAGGGGGACCTGTTGCTGGCTGACGGAGATGAAAGCATGGCCGTACACAGAGTTCGGCATGTAGGAACGACGGAAGTTTTATGTATGCATACTTTGCCCCAGCGCAGCACAGCCTAGGACACAAATGGCGTCACCTCTTGTGTTTTTTTTTTTTTTGTGTCTTCACTTCAAATCAGCGCTCACAGCACTGGTGCCGTTTACTCCAACCCGTGGTCAAACAGAAGAGCCCCTCTCTACCCTCCCCTCCTGCGGTACTTTGCTTTCGATTTTTCATGCGAGAAGAGTTCAGCACTCGCTTCCCTCTGCGTACACACGAACTAGCGCTATTCACTTCGCCAGGAGCGGAAGCGAGAGAAAAACTCACTTTGCAAGAAAAGCTCGCTTACGCCGGGATTCGAACCCCTGACCTGACCTCTAGAAGGCTTCGAGGATACCAACTAGACCACCGGGGCGACCGGCGTTGGTAGGAGGCCAAGAATGCTCCCCAGCCGCCTGCCCGTGGAGCTTTTCGTCAAAAATACGTCCGCGCTGGAACCGGAAAGTTTTGAAGGAGGTGTAGAGCTAGCTCTCTAGGGCTGTTGGCTGCAACCTGCCTTCCAACCTGCGGCCGAGGTCTGGATCCTGGCGTCGTTGCTGCTGGTGTGGGGACAGCGAGCTTGGACCATTCAACGGCGGCGTGGTTCTGTTTCCTCGGGCTTGCTCTATTATTTCGTCTCCAATCCGAGTTTTTCGATCAGACTGCTTGCTACCCTCCTTCTGTTGTACGTACCGCCAGCTGGGTGGTCTTTCTTTCCTTGACGCCAACCACGGGTAGTGACGCACCACGCGAACCCACACTTTCGCTGAAATTATTTTTCTCCTATATCGCCCCCCCCCCCCCCCCCCCCCCCCCCCCCCCCCCCCCCCCCCCCCCCCCCCCCCCCCCCCCCCCCCCCCCCCCCCCCCCCCCCCCCCCCCCCCCCCC